AGTTCAAGCCCCAGAACCAACCAAAAAAAAAAAAAAGTATCCCAAACAGTTGAGTGCTGGTCGTTCATACCTATAATCCTACTACTCAGGAGGTTAAGATTTGAGGATCTTGGTGCATAGTCCAGGAAAGTCCATTAGAGAATTATCTCTAATGAACTACCAAAATGCCAGAAGTGGAGCTATGGCTCAAGTAATAGCCAAAATTCTCAGAGATAGTGCTTAGGCCCTGAGTTCAAGCCCCATGACCACCACCACCAACAACAACAAAAAATAGAGTGGGAGGTTTGACTCAAATGGTTGAGTGCCCTACTTTAGCAAGTAGGAGGCCCTGAGTTAAATGCCAGTACTGTCAAGAAAAAACATTAGAAAGGAAGGAAGGAACAAAGGAAGAAGAAACGAAGGAATGAAGGAGAAAAAAAAAGAGAAAGAAAGAAAGAAGGAAGGAAAGAAAGGGGGGCTGGGAAGGTGGCTCAGTGGTAGAGCGCTTGCCTTGCATGCATGAGGCCCTGGGTTCAATTCCTCAGCACCACATAAGCAAAAACAAAAAAGTCAGAAGTGGCGCTGTGGCTCAAGTGGTAGAGTGCTAGCCTTGAGCTGAAGAGCTGAGGGACAGCATCCAGGCCCAGAGTTCAGGTCCCATGACTGGCAAAAAAAAGAAAAAAAAAAGAAAAGAAAAAGAAAAGAAAAGAAAGAAAGGAAAAAAAGAGCCGGGTACCTCTGGCTCACACCTGTAATCCTATCTACTCAGGAGACTGAGATCTGAGGATCGCAGTTCAAACCCAGTCTTTCTGGCCAGGAAAGACCCTAAGACCTTTTTTTTTTTTTTAATTTTTTTTGGGGGGTCCAGTCATGGGACCTGAACTCTGGGCCTGGGCGCTGTCCCTCAGCTCTTCAGCTCAAGGCTAGCGCTCTACCACTTAAGCCACAGCACCACTTCTGGCTTTTTTCTTTTTGCTTATGTGGTACTGAGGAATTGAACCCAGGGCCTCATGCATGCAAGGCAAGCGCTCTACCACTGAGCCACTTTCCCAGCCCATACCCTAAGACTCTTATCTCCAATAAATCACCAGAAAACTGGAAGTAGTGCTGTGGCTCCAGTGATAGAGTGATTGCCTTGAGCTTTAGAACAAAGGGATAGCGCCTAGGCCCAGAGTTCAAGCCCCAAGACTGACAAAAAGAAAAAGAGAGAGAGAGAGAGAGAAACTCTGGCTGGATGTGGAGCTTAGTGGTAGTATGAAAATTGCCTAGCATTGCAGAAACCTTATGTTTGATCCTTAGGATCACAGAAAAGAAAAGGAAGAAAAGAAAAGAAAAGGAAAGGAAAGAAGGAAGGATGGATAGCCGGGCACCAGTGGCTCACACCTGTAATCCTAGCTACTCAGGAGGCTGAGATTTGAGGATTGCAGTTAAAAGCCAGCCTGGGCAGGAAAGACTATGAGACTCCTATCTCCAATAAACCACTAGAAAACTGGAAGTGGCGCTGTAGCTCAAGTGGTAGAGTGCTCGCCTTGAGCTGAAGAGCTGAGGGACAGAGCCCAGGCCCAGAGTTCAAGCCCCACG